CGGAACGGATTAAGTTTGTAAGTAGAGGTACCACTGTACTAATAACAGTTTAGCTGAGTTTTTCTCATGGTTTCAAATAGGGGCTAAAAAATATGGGGAAGAAAATGTAATCCTAAAGCAATGGGGTAGAAGTCCTTCAGCAGCATCTTCTGAGTTCAACCTTCCATGGAGGGCTGGAACCATTATAATATTGGATTTCTAAAATCCATCTTGATAATACACACCACTAGCAAACCATCATCACCATATATAATCCATTTTCATTTTAAAGTTTGAAATAACATATCTGCTTTTTCTATGAGAATTTTAAGAAATTTACCCATTGCGGTCTGCAAATACATAACTTCCATAAAGTCTTTCAGACTGGCAGCCTCTGTATATAAATCCACCAACCAATGGCCCAGAACTGAATGGCTTGAATTCTAAAAGTGAAGGTTCGCTTTCTGTAAAGGAACTACCATAGTGTTAGATTAAATTAAAGTTGATAAAAACATGTGCTAAGAATTGGGAAATACAAAATTTACAATAAAATAGAATTACATTTTCTTTATCTGATATTACTTCAGCATTAGGCTTGTGCTGCACAACTCTCTGTTTATGTACTCACAAGTAGGTTTCTCAATATTTAATATGACTTACTCCCAAATAATATTAAAGGAACTTTAAATACAGCTGCTAAAAATGGATACCATATATGGCTGTTATTTCTCGGCCTTCACTGTAATATAAACTTATTAATAATAAATAGGATTGATATTTTATGCCTCATAAAACCATAAACACTATAAAAACATTTAGCTTTCTTCAGTATCAAAAGGAAAATCCACAACCTTTGCCTACATTAAAACAATGCTAGCTGCATGGAATTCCTCTAAATTACTAATAACTGCATGGAATTCCTCACATCTTTTTTTAAGATATACTCTTGTTGTATTTCCAAGAAAGAAAAATAAAATATGAAAAACTGGAATACACTTGGGTTCCCCAGAAGTAAATAAGTAGTCAAGAATGCTGCTATTGTCTATAGTTGAAACGGGGGGGAAAAAAGAAACAATAGTGGGTATTAAATTGAGATATTGAAAAATGAATGGCAAATGATCATTTATCTAACAGTCCTTTCACTTAGGAAAAGCTATGGCTATCACTAATTGTCATGGTTGTCCTGAAAGCTTACCCAGTGTTGACCTGGAAAAAGTTTGTTTCTTTCCTTTTTTTTTTCTTTCTTATTATGTTTATGTACCACTGAATCTAAATAATTCACAGAGGTTTACAATTCAGCTGCTCATGAACAGACCATTCAGAGCTTCCTATAGTGCAGGTAGGAAAAAGTAATTTGGGTGACTTATTCAGTGAAGTCACATGTCATACATGAAATCAAAATATATTTCAGACCAATGAAGTTAAATCAAAGCACAAATGCTCTTCTAATAAAGTTGCTATTCTTTAACGTATGAGTTACAAAAATTATCAATAACATGAAATAAATGAATTGGAAGTAGCAGTAAAGTTTAATTTTATTCATTTGGACACATATGAATACTTTTTTGGGGGGCCTTCTACAAGTGCTCATTAATTGTATAATGCTAAATGGTCGTGTTTTTATTTACAATAGTTGTAAACTCTTAGTGTGCATATTCTCATATATTTAAGCTTTTACTGAATTTTTGTACTCTGTATCTTATACATTTAATTGCTGTTACATTTTCTCTTCACCATTGGTATCTGATGAAGTGCATGCTGTATAAAGCTTAATGCCATAATATACTTTAATAAGTATATTATGGCATTAAGTATAAAATTATGCTTCAGGAAGAGCCCTGTGACACTTTAATGTCACAGGGCTCTTCCTGAAGCATAATTTTAACTTAATATCACATACAGTACATGATTTTTATTTGCTAGCAAGCTAATTACTATTGCGATTATTTTATTTTACTTTTGGAAGACAATTTTTGCATTTTAGGAAGAGGAATATAATATTATGCAATATAATGCATTCTTTTTATAAGCATCTGACCTCAGTACTTTTACTGTAATTGAATTTTCACTGGGCAGCTAGAACTCAGTAGGAGAATATTTTTATTTAACGGACATTTAGATTCAGTTGGAATTTCATTGGGAATGTGATTTAATAAATTCTTTAAAAAAATGTACCAGTCCTCTATATACTGTAGCTTTTATAAACTGTACAGGATGGACCTATAAGCCATTTTTTTCTTTATATTACCTTTTATAAGGACATCTGCACATGATATCAATCTGAATTATTACATTTGCAGGGTATTCAGATTTGTTCTGTCCTCAACATTTAACATCAGATAAGAATGACTTAATCTCACGTTGTGTGGCTGAAAATTGTTATATTGGCTGTAGAATCTGTACTGAGATGATAGCTCAGAATTAATATCTTTATTGTAGATCCTAATTTTATTAATTTTATTAATTTCACAGTTATATATTTAGGTCTTTGTTTGCAATAATAAAGAAATCCAAAACCTGAAATGGCAATCAGAAATATATGTAAACCTAGTATAGACTTGCTACAGTTCCCTTGACTTTAATGGATCTAAGTGCACATAACTGTGAACTGGATTGTGATCAATACCTTAACACTATAAGAAGTTAGTAACATTTTAATAAACTAGCATCAGTAAATATAATACTAGAATCCTTCTTAAAAATATCAAGCTCTTATCATAATTAACAGAAGCATATCAGTAAAATGGTGTAATTCACTGATTTATTAATCTCTGAATAATTGTTTTAAGATTTTTTAAGCACATGATAACCTAATGAAGTATACAAAATATATTTAAAATTTACTTTGGCTGTCTCTTATATATAGCATGTTATATCCCTGAAATATTGTTTTCCAGGCTTTTTTAACATGATGCCTACAGGATTCCTAACACCTGAGCATGTGGGGGTATACTGTTGCAATATTCAAGCAGATATGCACATTACATGCTTCATGATCCAGAACTTACCATAATCTTTCCCCTTTATTATCTGAAGGATCCTTGCTGATGATCTGTTCTTCTCATTCAAGTCTGAACAAAGTATTGTTAAATTAATATTTACATCTGTTGGATGGCGATCCACAGCACACCTGTTCAAGAACATTTTTTTATGACGATATGAACTAATACATTTGTTTGCTATATATGACTTCTATTTCTATATCACCAATCTATTTCTAATCACTGATGTTAAAGTGCACATTCTTAAATGGAACATTAAATAACATGTACATACAAACTGAGAAATAGGATAAGTCCGATTAGAAAATATCAATTCATGGGCAATTCACCTTAAATGGTAGCAAACTGTTTTCTGTTCTCACATTACTGGGATTTTCCTTGTCAGTGAAAAAACATATTAGTAATAATTTCCTACTAAGTAGCCATTGGAATTAATTTTATCAGGAATTTCTACTGTGACAGAATTCTGTATGAATCTATTGAAAATTTCCAAGTTGTGGTGAAGAGGTGATAGGGATTCCCATCCATGCTTTTAAGCACATGGACACGATAGTTAAGGTAGGGCTTCCACTAATGTGAAGATGCCCTTCTGCTAGTGTCAGTGATATCAGTGTTTGTTCTTCCCAGGTAGACAATACTTGCATGGTCCAGGTGTCTAATGGCATGCATTGAATTCTCCTTCTATATCACATGCTAGCTTTTTGCCACTTTCCTCCTTCCTGAAGCTACTTGTCTTTTAAAACAGTTTTGCTACATGTGTAATGTGTAGTTTGCCCTAACTTTTGCTAAAATCCAAATAATAATATTTTGGATTTTCAAACTGTCAAAACCTAAAAAAAAAAAAAAGAGAGAGAGAATCACTTACACAAGGTTATAAACCAGTTCGTTAATGTGAACAAAGTTTGTTTTAAAATTCCTAGAAAATGGGAATGCTCATTTTCTCTTTGTGTAGCAAGTTATTTATAGCTGTATATCAAGATAGTTCTTGATGGCCATGAAGACCACAGTGCTCAGCTTTATACCAGAGCAAGGAGTTTGGTCTTTTTTATCTTTACAGATCTTCAAAACTGTGCAGTGTCAGACTAATCTTTCTAATTCAACACATTTATAAATCCCTTTTCCCAATGGTAAAACAGGATTCCAAATATATATCAAGAAAGTTTGCATGAAGAAAGAGCTACTTGGGCTATATTTATTTAGCTTCTTTTTTTCTCCCATATTATTTCCCATATTGTTTTGATTAAGTTTTAAAAACTGTGTTAGCCTCCTTTTCTATTCAGCAAAAGAAAAAGGAAAAAAAAATTGCATACCTGCCTGGATTATGGAGTCCATGGGCAAATATTTCGGGAGGCTGATTAGTGCTGTTAAAGTGTGGGTTAGACTGTGGTATGGAATAAGGCACATGGCAGAAATCAGTGTCTACATCCAAGCGCAGTACTGAACCTGTAAAATCACTGAGAAAGTTGGAGGATAAGATAATTGATTTTTAAAAGGCAGAAGCATTTTGGCTTCTACTTTCTGTTCTGAAGCAGTAGTCCCTTTGTTAGAGAACCTTTTAGAAGGGACCATGACATCTGTGAGGATGGTGCAAGGTAACTCAGTGTGATGCAAACAGCATTGTGGCATTGCGATACAAGCCCTGCCCATTTACTATGTGCATTGGGATGTTACATACAGCCCAAAATTGGTGGGGTCTGCATTTTCTCAGAATAACAAAAGCAATGAGAGCTGGCAGATGCTGTTAAGAAGGGAATATTCAAACATTTAGAATCATATTAGTGTACCATACCATCTTTTTTGCTTTCTGATTACATTTCAGTTTTGCTAGTCATTCAAACAATATATAATTTGATTCACTGTTATCTTTATGGGCTCCATGTCAAATTTGTCTGATCTCAAGCATATTTAAACACTATCTGCATAGATACTACATATATATGCACACACATTAATCTCTTTCTATATCTTTGTTGTAATCCCTATTTGAAAGTGCTGGATAGAATTTAAAGCAGGGATTTCTAAACGTTTTGTCATCACACCCCCTTTAGTGTAATTTTAATGTACACACCTCCCCTAAAAATCCAAACACCAAAATGAACACAAGTGAACAATGAAAACAATACAGTGATACTTTGGGAAAGGTGGATTTATTGTAACAATGTAACTAAAAGGTTCTTCACACCTTCCCTGGACTTTGTCTCCACCTCCCCAAGGGAGGTACCCCTCACAGTTTGGGAAACCTAATTTAAAGCAAAGTTTGTTTCTGAAAAGTTAAGAAACTCAATGTGATTGACCTTGAATTTTTACCAGGGACATTTTTGCTATTAATTTTAAAGCATAGTCCCTTGTGGCAAAGAGTAATAGATAATAAATAGTATAATTTTATCAACCAAATGTATTTATTATGAATTATTTCCAATTATTTTTCATGGGGACAAATCTTGATTTCTCTTTCATTCAGTGGAGTGATAAGAAATTAATGAAGTATAGAGTGGTAATTACTTATATTTCAAGAGCAGAATTATTTTGGGTGGAAATTTTAAAAATCAGAAAATAAAAAGGTTTTATCTACTGGAAATTCTTATACCTCAGACCATCCATCTCCTCCATATCATCTATCGTGATCATTCCATCACCAAGGAATATGTATAAAAAACCATCAGCACCAAAGAACAGCTGTCCTCCAAGATGTTTTCTATGTAGTTCTGCAACTTCTAGAAAACTTCTTGCAGTCCTTGTATCAACCTGGTGTGGATTTTTCCTGCAATAAAGGAGGAAAAAAAGAATGAATCTCAATAATATATTTAACTTCAACGTAGGCATACAATTTTTGCTTTTATCCTCTAAAATATTGTTTAAATACCTCAAAATGGCAGAGAGCAATATGAAAAGTTGCTTGCCATAATGCAAATGATTCCAGGGTTTTTGTTGCTTTGCCTTCCTTTTTGCAAGAGTTTGAATGAATCTGAATTTTTAGGAGGTGTAGTAGATCAAGGAGTAGATCCTGACTAACATGGGAAGAATTCAAGTTCATATTTTCAGGCAGCCTATGAAGCCTATGACACAATACTAGGTTGTCATCTCAGATTACATATTATAGAGTTGTTATGAATGTAAAATAGTGCTTGGGGTATCGGACAGAATATAAGTACTACTCAAAATTCTTTGGAGGTAGGTCAAGATCTAAAACAAAAAATACATAGAGTTGTATACAGAGAGGAATTAATTTTAGAGTGGTCACTAATGGTTACTTAGAAGGATAGGCAACAAAACCACTTTCCAGAGGGAACTTATGAAAGAGCATACTATAATAGATAAAACATCCTGAGGGATACCAGGAACTAATCAATATGGTTGCAATCTTAGTGTAAGGCCAACATTCCACATGTCTTGTTAAAGAAAGTGGGAATGAGCAGAGTACACTCTGTAGGACTTCAGAAATCACCATAAGGGCTAGGACTATTTTTGCCTACATGTTACTGATTAGCCTGAAAAAGAAAGTAATATGTTAGTTATCTTGTGCATGTATGGCTCCCAATTAGTTTGTTGATTATTCTCCAATACGTGAGCAAACATTTGATTCCAAATACAGTGGGATTACAGATTTTTTTATTATAGACAGAACTATCTAGGAATCAGAACATATACATGAGAATAACTGAATAAATACAGAAGGGAGAAAAGTAAGTGTAATTGTTACTAGTCTCAACATTACTTACCCGAAATTTAGCCTGGATTATATTATAATACATACTATAGTACATATTATATATATATATATATAATATGTATGTATGTATGTATGTATGTATGTATGTAGATATGGTATGGTATGGTATGGTATGGTATGGTATGGTATGGTATGGTATGGTATGGTATGGTATGGTATGGTATCTATATGTACTTTCTCCTTCACAGAGTTCCTTCTTTGAACGTAACAGATACAACATTTTAGGATTTAAGAGACCAGACAAGTGGCACTTTAAATACTTTAAAGCATACTACACGCTAGGAAATACTGCAGAGATTGTAAATAGTATCCATACCTGGACACAGTGTATTCTACTATCCGAAGAATATGGTCATGAGGCCCAATAGCCCATCGCTCTTGGTTGGTGGTATAGGACACATACAGCTTCCCATTTTTTTTGTAACTGGGATGGAATGCAAGACTTAGGAGCCCTCTTTCATCTCCACCCTGTAGTCAAATGAAAAACACAAAGAATTGTGAAGTTAATTATGTGCCTTATTGTGTTTAAGAAGCCCCACCCCCACCCCCACCCCACCCCCAACCAAGTTTGTTTCTTTCTTTCTTGTGAGGCGTCTTTGCCCAGCTCTTTTCTTCCTTTTCTGTCTATGGGGGAAAAAGGCTTATAAAACACTTCTTCTGGATTGGGTGAGGGGGGCTGTTTCTTGAGACTTGGAACAAGGCAACTGTTTTGTTATCAGTACACAGGCCACTCTGCCCCACTTTTATCAAGTGATTTTTGAGTGTAATCTATGGGAAGCCATGAAGACAAGTTTAAGTGCTCGTGAGCATACTTTACTGGATTACTTGATGTATGCAGAAGGCAAATCAAAAGGTCTATAATCAGCAGTCACTTCAAGTATCCAAGCTTTAAAATACAGTGCCAACTCCCACTGTCTTGGCAATCTGTTTAGAAAACAGTTAAATTGCTTGTGTAATATGTAAAGCTTTGTTTTACCCTGGAGGCAGCTACATCACTTGTCACAACTATGGTGGTCTGTTCATCAGGGCTAGCAAGCATACTGTAGGTAATAAGCAGACTCCAGTCTCACTGCATAAAAGCATCACTTTGTATGGGGGCCTATAGGGTACAGCTTTTTATTATTTCAAGAAAAAAATAGAAAATGCCCAAACATCTTTATTTCATTATTTATGTATGCCACACAGATTAGTATAGTTATATGTTTAGCATCAGTTTCACATACTGTGACAATGCAAATGTCAGCAACAGAATACAGAAAGACAATTCTCCCTAGAAAAATAAAAAAGAGAGAAAAGGCAGGAAGGGTTAGTTCAGAGTTAGGAACTACAATAATCAGAAACTCTCCTCCCCCCTCAAATAGCATATAAGTATCCTTGCACTATTAGGAAATGTACTGATGATATAAACATGTTTTCATAATGATAGAAAGATTATGGCCCAGTTCCAGAAAGTCATATTAATTAAACTGCTGTATGTACCCAGTGGGAGTTAATTCAGTCATAACTAGTTTATTGTCCTGTTGATTTTAATGGATTTACTCTAAGTAACTCTGGATCAAGCTTTGGATGTGAAAAGTACATGTGAGGCTAAATAATGCTTTAATACTATGCATATGGGCAGAAAGGAGATTGAGTAAAGTCTATGTGCTCTCTCTCCTTCCCTTTTCGGCTGCATGACAAAGAGGAATAAATCAGTTTTCATTTTCTCTGTGTCCAATAGAATTCCAGAGTTTATTAAATAGAAAATGGAAATATTATTTAGGACTCTATTGTACAATATTGATGAAGAACCATCCTGTAAAGTTAAGCTACTTAGTTGAAACTAAGGAAAGGACCAAGATATAGAAAGTCACTTAGGCACATGTAAGTCCTTCCACTATTCTGTTCTGTTCTCCCCCTCCCAATTCCCCCTTGTTATGCTACACTAGAGGCCACCATCAGAGACCATTCCCAAATTTCCATTGAATTTTAGGTGAGGCTTGTATGGCAGCATGTAGGTCCATTCTCAGAGTTTCACTGCTCTTTGGATCCCGGCCAGAGTTCACTAGACGGCACTTCAATAGCCTGATAAGTACTTCTCCAATTAGCAGCACCCAGGATGAAAGGTTTGCAAAACCACCCATCCCCCTTTTTTAAATTCATAAACAAAACTATTGCAGAGCAGCTTCTAGGTTACTAGGACATTCTGATGCCAGTTTCCCCGCCAAAGAGCGTAATGGAACAATAACAATCTGAACTGTAATTATTCTTAATTTAATTGTCTTTCACTTGAATCCATTTTTATGTGATTTATATATACTTCATTGATTCTTTGTTTTTGCTGTGATCTTACATTTATTTTGCTAATTTTCAGGAAAGGCATCCTGAAAATTTCTGAAAACAGCTGTTGTAATTCAAAGATCTAATTTATATTTAAGTTAACTGATGCACTCTTTTAACAGAAATGAACTTCTAGCAAGTTCTTTTGTATTACAAGTTTTTGAATAACATAGAAAATACTTCTATAATTATTGGCAGCTTAACTTTTCTATAGCTAAATTAATGGTGTGTGTGTGTGTGTATAATATATATGATGTATATATATATATATATACTCCATCACAGTTTAAAAATTAAATTCTTTTTTTTAAAAAGCATGACCACAGTGCAGTGATAACTTGAATCTGTTAAAAACAATAAACCCTCATATATGAAACTATAGTCTGAAAGATTTTGAAATCCATTTTGTATTAAAACTTTTCTTTAGGGAGAAAGTTGAAAACTGAGTATCTATACAGGAAACTAAGGCAAGTTTGAATGTGTGCTCATGTAAAATGGATCAGTGAACACCATATTGCGGAATTGGTTAACTGAAGTAAGTATTGTTTGCTTCTATATAACCCTGTTTTATGAAAATTTATGAGAACCATTAATAACAGGTATGATATTTGATACAGAAGAACACTGGACACATTGAGATACTTCTATTTTAAAATCAAATTATGAAAAATCTGAAATGAAATTTGTGGTTTAATTACAGTGTATTATTACTCTGGCTAAGAAATAGGCACTTTTCTGTCTTTCTTAAATACTAATTATATGAGGCTATTTAGAAAGCACCTATAAAACTGAATGCGATTGAATTATGGAATATTGTTCCCATACATAAAATGTTATAGTAATTTGGGGTTGGAGTGCACTTCACTTATTATTATGCTACAATATGTTAAAATCACTGTTAATGAGCTGTCACACTGATGTCAGTTTTCTTCATATGATAAAGACCTATTGTGGTCATGAGAAAGGAAAATAATTGATAAAGTTGGCAAAACATATGTTTCAGATCAGTTCTTAATTCCAGGTAACTTATTCATCATTAGGGTGAAATTTTTAAGAGACATAACTAGTGAAATAACCTTTGCTGACAATATTTTTCCTTTCTGCTTTCATTCATGTTGAATGATTAAACTTGGGTCATGTTTTTCCCCAGTTACTCAGGAGTGTATAATGGAGACCAACATTTAATGAGCATTTTTTAAGTACAGTTTTTGCCCTTTAAAAAGGATACTGTCTTTGATGCTACAGTGGTACAGATTAGATTTCAATTTTTCTTATTTAGGAAAAGTTATTCAGAAAGGGGCAAGTTTGTCATTGGACTAGTCTGGATTTGAACTTAAAAAATAATGTTAATGAGTAACATTATTTGTTTTTCTTAATGAATTTGTTTGAGTTTCTCTAGGGAACTCATGGTGGTATCTATGGTTCTTCCTGTCTATCCAACTCTGCCTCCATTTTATATGACAAATTTATGGTTAGATGAGTGCAGTTCGTCAAAGATCAGTGAGCTTCATAGGTGAATGGGGATTTGGACTTAGCTTTCTGAAGTCTCTAACTGGTGATGCCCTGGAAAACATGAATTCGGAAGAGGTTGGCTCAAGGGCCACTTTGCAATAGTGCTACATTGTATTACACTGTCTACCATATTTGCAAATTTTTTTAATCATAGTGGAAATCTAAGAAGGAAATCTATGTTTTTTAAATTGTGCTAGAAACAATGGTTTCCATAGCTCCTCTAGTAGAAGGTCCTCATGCCACATATTGTAGCAGTAGATATTTTATTTAATTCTATGGTCAAAAAGCAGGACACTCTGCTATCCTACACTGTCATCTTTTCCTGCCAATAAAAATAAAAATAGAAATATATTAATGAAATGGTTAGAAGCTTTGACCAATCAAAATATTACTAATGACAAATAGAATAATACAATATAATTTCTGACTTCTTGTTTCCATAAAGATTTTTTAATGGACTGTAGCTAATATAGTGGTCATGCAGCTAAAGAGATTATCTTCACATCATTAGAATGAAACATAACACTGAAGTGCCTGACTTCATTACTTAAGGTTTCACTGCTATCTGGTATTACAATATATAGTTCTCATTGTAAATCTAAACAAGAACTTGCCCTGACCTTTATTACAGCAAACATTTAAACAACTTAGTAATATTATTATTATGAAAAGGAACTTTTATAAAAGTGCTTTAGACCACCAAGAAACTATCATAAATTTAAAGAAATATGAGGTTTTGACCATGTGATTTTCCTTGCCAGTTATGCAACAGCTTGTTGTGACATAAAGGTCATACTTTTTTTTAAAATGGCACTTTTAAAGGAGATTTATGGAGTTTCTATTTTTACAATGATCATATCAACAATTAAAGAAGATATATGTTACTAAAATAATGCACCAAATTGAATTTGCATGACTCCCTTTCTAAAATGTTGAATGCTTGGCCAATAGTAAATTGTGTAATCCACAGTTGTTTTAATAGAGACAAAAATTTAGTTTAGTTTAGTTTAATCAATACCTTCAGTCATTTAATGTTGTGGAAATGCCATCATGATTATATCATTATTTATTTATTTGGCTGCCTTACTCTGAGTAGCTAATATAGGATTAAAACGCAGAAGACATAAACAATCAACACAAAAATGGCCAAAACACAACATAAAACAGCACAAACTGAGCCCCAGATACCATCTATTCTAAACTGAGACTTCATTTATTCATTTCACATGCAGGCTACCCTATTCATAAAATTATTAATCCAGGAAGAATGACGCATAGGACGCTGACAAATAAATAGCACAGGTACAGTAATTCTGGTGGGACAAAGAGGGTCCAGCTCCAGGTTGTGGGTTCTTTGGGCAAGCTATGCTTTATAAGTGCTGCAACTTTTGCTTCAGATGTCTAAATTTATTGACGCCTAGAGTCATTTTTGAGATGGGCAGCTGTATAAATTGATTAAATAAATACATAAATAAATGCCCTGCCACTTACTTGATAATAAGCAGCCTATCTGTCTGCCTCCCCATATGCTGAGCACAGGAAACAACTAATACTTTTCTGAAGAAAACATCACAAACAATTAACCCAGCAAGTCCTGAACAGTATGCATCTATCAGGTCAGTGAGATAAAATGTGGG